CTTTGGGCCACTTCATAACTATTTTTCATGACCTTACAGATTCATGAACATATGGATATTTACTATGATTAAGCTGGAAACCTTCCTCTAGCAATGATTTTTCATTGCCTACTCTCTCTGTTCCAGACTGTTTGGGATTCGCTTTTTTTTGTTAGGCTATACCAATTTTTGGTTCTCCAAATATACCAATTTTTTGTTCTCCAAATTTGACAGAAAATCTTCAAGAAGGCGAGTGAAAAAAAGTTATGTAATATTCTATGTTTTTGACCACATTCATAACTCTTTATCATATAATATATTATATAATCCTCCATGTCACACCATTCTTACCAGGCTAAACCAGTAAATGATACCAGGCTAAACAATGACACTGAATACATATACTATTATTTTAAACTGGAAAATATCACTTGTGAGGAAAATAGCAGCCGTGATTTGTATATCCGAACTATATCTGAAGGTGATGTTTTTCCATGACCCATGGTGAAAATTTTGCATTTACATTAATGTGATTGTATATGTGAAACTGTAGCCTTCATTTGACACCCCCCACCCCCCAACACACCCCACCCCATATCTGTATATGGAGTAAGGGATATATATGTACAGAAATATATGTACAGCAATTTATCAGCATGATCTATGCAACAAATAAAACCCTTGGCACATACCACTGTCAAAATCAGGGTTGAATAAACAAAACAATACCCAATGCTACTAGTATGCATTCACTACCTCAGCAATTTTTGAAAAAGTCGCCAATTTGCTGGCGAACCTAAGGTAAAAATTGCGCTCCAAACTTCAAGATCCATACTAGATTTTGTATGTTTAATCTTAAGATAGTGAGATACTCTGAGTTTTGCACCATATTGATAGTAATCATACTGTCACGAGTCTATTCTGTTTCAAATACTGATCTAGTTATGTACTTGTAGCCATTTTCATGTACTTTTAGCCATTTTCTAGTATATTATCCAAACAACCAGTGATCTGTACTCAGTATATGTGTATGTGTGTGTACATGTGTGTACTACTACTAGTATCTGTGTGTGGTAGAGAAGGTGGGTGGGTAGGGGGGGGGGCACAGAAAGAGTGATAAGACCANCATGGAAATTGAAGTTGAATTTCAGGTCATGTCACAGCATTTACTGCTTTTCTGTGGTCATGGGGGAGTGTTGTCACATATCCCATGATAATAAATGGGAAATAATGTAATCCTGACATGCAGAAGAGTTGACAATGGCATCTCAAAATATAATTTTAGCTATAAACAAGAGTTCTGGTGCCCCATAAAAGCCCAGTGACCCCACCAAATATTATTCTGAAGTAATTTCATGGAGCAGGGGAAATAAAAGGGAAAAAAGAAACTAACATCCTTTGATAGACTGAACTATATTGGAACAGGATTTTCTTCAAGTGTCACTAGAAATCTGATAATTGAATTTGGATACACAAAGGAATAAGCCAACTACTGATAATTATGATGTAACAATATATCATCATACAACCATCATTACATGCAGCATTATACAAGTATTTTCTAGACTATGTAAGCTAATACTTTGTCTTCCTTTCCTTTCTTTTCAATTAGATCTACATGATGGGCAGTAAATTGCAAAGATATACACTGATTTTTCAATTCATTAGCTGTAGTCATCTGACTAAACAATATTTCACACAACTATAAATTCCACAAATATCCATTGCAATTGTTTCTCAAAGCTGTCCTACATGTAGCTAGCCAGGACTTTGAGGTGACCCAGTGTGGTAGATGCTTTCTTGAAATGCATTCCATAGTTCAGCTGTATGTATGTTGACTTCTGGCACCTGTAAAAGGAAGAGGGAAGAATGTTTAATCATGTACCAGATTCAAGCTTCTTGAGACTACTTAAATATATATTGTAACTGTTACATCAAAATCAACCAGAATAAACATAATAATCTAAGATAGGCTTAAGATTTTCTTATGAAAAAAAAAACTTTCTGGTTCAGAGTGAGTAGTATGTTGACTCTGTTGCTCCTATGGCACAGGTACTATTGTTACAGTAAGATACCTAGGCTAGGCCTGTACTGTATATATTATGTATTTCATGATATAATATTCTGTGCTTTGGGCCACTTCATAACTATTTTTCATGACCTTACAGATTCATGAACATATGGATATTTACTATGATTAAGCTGGAAACCTTCCTCTAGCAATGATTTTTCATTGCCTACTCTCTCTGTTCCAGACTGTTTGGGATTCGCTTTTTTTTGTTAGGCTATACCAATTTTTGGTTCTCCAAATATACCAATTTTTGGTTCTCCAAATTTGACAGAAAATCATCAAGAAGGCGAGTGAAAAAAAGTTATGTAATATTCTATGTTTTCGACCACATTCATAACTCTTTTTCATATAATATATTATATAATCCTCCATGTCACACCATTCTTACCAGGCTAAACCAGTAAATGATACCAGGCTAAACAATGACACTGAATACATATACTATTATTTTAAACTGGAAAATATCACTTGTGAGGAAAATAGCAGCCGTGATTTGTATATCCGAACTATATCTGAAGGTGATGTTTTCCATGACCCATGGTGAAAATTTTGCATTTACATTAATGTGATTGTATATGTGAAACTGTAGCCTTCATTTGACACCCCCCACCCCCCAACACACCCCACCCCACCTCTGTATATGGAGTAAGGGATATATATGTACAGAAATATATGTACAGCAATTTATCAGCATGATCTATGCAACAAATAAAACCCTTGGCACATACCACTGTCAAAATCAGGGTTGAATAAACAAAACAATACCCAATGCTACTAGTATGCATTCACTACCTCAGCAATTTTTGAAAAAGTCGCCAATTTGCTGGCGAACCTAAGGTAAAAATTGCGCTCCAAACTTCAAGATCCATACTAGATTTTGTATGTTTAATCTTAAGATAGTGAGATACTCTGAGTTTTGCACCATATTGATAGTAATCATACTGTCACGAGTCTATTCTGTTTCAAATACTGATCTAGTTTATGTACTTGTAGCCATTTTCATGTACTTGTAGCCATTTTCTAGTATATTATCCAAACAACCAGTGATCTGTACTCAGTATATGTGTATGTGTGTGTACATGTGTGTACTACTACTAGTATCTGTGTGTGGTAGAGAAGGTGGGTGGGTAGGGGGGGGGGGGTCAGAAAGAGTGATAAGACCAGAAAACAAAACCTTTACATTTTCTTTGGTGAACAAGCTTGATCACCATAATGGTATATCATAGCAAATTGCCAATTATGCAATGTTTTCACAATGTTTAATTCCTGGTAAGTCGAGTTATCATATTTAATCCTATATATGTAGCTTTATGGGTTCTAACTCATTCATAATTCTAACCAGCAGTTAGAATAACCAGGTGACAGGTCCCCAACCAGAGAGCTTTCGTGCTTCTTAGGTAAATACTAGTCACTCTTTGTTTATTGGCCATATTGTAACAATGGGGGGTTTATAGGCGCTACCAACTGACCCGGCTGATGGGTCTAGACATTTTAGCCAATTCGGTAGGAGCGTTGGGTCATGAAGCTGGTGCTCAGGTGGTCGAGGGTTCGAACCCCGGCCCGAGAGTATCTTTCTGTTTCTATAGCCTCTACCAGGCTTGAGGGCACAGCTGGAAATAGTAGAAATTGGCCAAATAGAGAGATAACACACCAAGGGAGTTTAGCCATCCAGTTTACAGTTTGCCGGCGTGGCTACTGTTTCTACTCGCTCCTCCTGTTTCTAACACCTGAACCAATGACATTATATACAGAAGTGTATAATGTCCTTGCCTGAACAGTGCCTTTCCCGGTCCCCAGACGAAAGGGCCATGCAGATATCACTGTACCTGTAAGGTGCCTTATCTGGTCCCAGATAAAAGGGCCACACAGATATGACCTACAGTATACTCTACATCTGGTCTTTTCCAAGCATGGACCTAATAAAAGCAACTGACTTGGCTTTTGGCATGAGTGCACCTACGACACATGATACACTAATTTCAAACATAATTTCAAACGTAATTTTCAGGCTTTTCTTCTATTCCTACTAGTACTATCCTAGACCTAGTGAGTGTGTATTTCCTGTGTCACTATATGCGAAATAAAATTTTAAAAAAACTATGTGTGGTATCTTATCTGCGGGCCAATTCAAGAAATAGGCCAAATATCATACTGGTTACATGGCTTATCACCATTGGAGCCGGTCGGGGATAGGGATGGCTACACGCAAAATTTCATGATTAGAATACTAGTATCATGGCCTAGTCATGTAACGTATAACTGTTACCCATATCAAAGTTTGGGCCAGGGAACAGCGCAGGGTTTCTCTCCCGGTAATGTATATCAGCCTGCTGTGTTTTCAATTAGGCCGTAGTCCCAGGAGCGCGTCCCCCGCGTGTGCCGGGGCAGCCACCCTGAAGCCCCGCCTTTCCTGTCAGCAGAATTTAATGCTGAGTTTATTCCACAAAATCCTACAGGAGCTATTTTCCCACAATTCTACGCGATTCAAGATGGCGAAGAAGGTGAGAAAGCCGAGACATATTTTACATGTTTCAGTAGCAGTAGCTGTATTTTCCAGCTTGCTCCGCTTCTTTTTTAGGAGAGCGGAAGGCCAGGTGACTCTTCCTTTCAGAGAAAAGTAATATTTTGGTATCTTTTCTCGATTAGAAGTTTTTCCTGGCATAAACATAATTAAAGTTGTATGAGGGGGAGGGGGGCAGAGAGTTACAGGCATTATTAGTTACTTTTTAAAAGTGAGGTAGGTTTTAAACTAGTCTGCCTGGCCCAGGAGCCATTTGTGTGATTGACATTAGGGTGTGCCCTGGGATCTCTGATTTCCTCATATGGAATGGGCGGCTGGAATTTACGCGCTAAAGGCCCAACGATCATTCTGAGGCTGGCAGAGCTAGGGTGAGGGTGACTATTTGTGCTCTCTACTATGGCTGTGTACCCGGGTATCCCAAGCCCGTATGTGCTGATCACCACCATCAACAACCTGTCTGTGGAGAACAGGGACCTCACTAACTCAATAGTGAGGCTGAACAGACAGGTTGAAGATGCACAAGGCAGAGTAGAGAGACTAGAGGTTGAGATTAGAGCAGCCAGGGAGCAGGTCATTGAGAAGGACCAGCAGATACAGAATCTGGAGAGACGCCTAGCTGAAATAGGTGAGGATGGTGTGCGGCAGAGGAAGAGGGCCCGTCCAAACACCGACGGCAACTTCACACCGCCTAAAAGGCTGTACAACAACAACAGGCCTTGGTCTGAGTTGTCAAAGCGCAGTATCCAGGCAAAGAAGAAGGCCATCAGAGAGAACTACATTGAGCCGTCCTTCACTCAGCTTCCAGACAACATTGTTAAAGCCAAAGTAAGTGTTTTGAATTGCAATATTTAAAAAAAAAATGTTTATATAAGGGGAATAATTGACTACGGGAAACATGAACATCTTACATAATGTGCACCTTATACACATGTACATGTATCTATGACATGTAGTTCTGCACCTGTTATCTAGTAAGTCATAACCATGCGTTTCAGGTTGACTTCACCCTTGATGATGGGATGGCTGTTACGGTTGAGTGGCCAGAGCGGTCCAAGGACAGATACGGTCGCGACCTACCACGGGATGGAGGTGCCATCACACGTCGTGGTTACAACCACCAGACAGAGGAAGTAAAGGACATTGTCAAATGGTGCCTTTACTTCAAGGACCAGGCGACAGTGTCCGACGTGTGGTGGCACGAGCTACACATGCGGTTCAAGGCCACCATCCCATGCCTCAACTGGCTGAATATGGAGAAGAAAGTCCAGAATGACTTCATTCCTTACCAGCTTGAGGATGGGGTAAGATAACTTGGAATAATTTATGTTTAGATTAAAGGCAAATGAGTCAGGATGTCTCCCATAATTGCTTTTGCTGAGTGTGTCTATTCGTAATTAGCATTCATGTTGATAATTTTTTTGCTCATTATGAACAGCAGCAATTAATTGAACAATAGTATATTACTTCTAAACATGGTTGACATAAGCATATATGTTGCAATCTACATGTATTTCTATCCCTTTGCTGAATCAACATAGAAAAGTGCTGATATGACTTTTTTAGGACAGCTTGAACAACATGTCTTGAATCCTCACAGGTAAGAGATTCAAATGCAGCCTCCCGGAGTGTACGTGACATCATCCGGAAACATCTCATGATGACAGAAAACCAGCACCTTCTGGAGGCAGACGAGCCAGAGGTCTCCTTCAGGTATGGACTGGACGGCAGACCACAGGCCAAGAATAACATCATTGGCGCTGTCATGGCCTGCATTACTCCAGTCCGAGACCTGGAGGAGGCCCTGGTGCGTCCGCGAACAGTGCGAGAAGAGTACTGTGTATTTTTGTATAATGGTATGTGTATATGAATGACTTTTGAATTTTTTATTTGACCAAACTACTGTTCCCAGTATATAGTTTTTGTGACGACCACACCGTTCATGCACTGTTGATTGAATATGACATTTGTCAGGAATAGCATCAATGAATCATTTACCCTAACTTGATGTACACATGTATAGGCAAACAAATTCTCATCGAGGTTACTACCTATGTATTCCACTTTCATTGTACCTTTGTAGTCAACACTGATCTTAATCTGTAGCTGAAGCATTTCTTCCAGTCATACAATATAAATGAAGCAAATAAGATGAAGCAATACATTTTGCCATTTGTAATATTGTAGGTTTAAGACTATGTACATTTTCCATTCAATACAGGAAAAGAAGACTATGAAGAACAGGTCAAGGCGGGATCACGAGTATTCCGAGAAATGGAGGATATCCAGGCAAATGGAATTCAGATGGAGGTCGAAGGAGTTGAGAAGCTCATTCGTGTAAAGTGGTATGTACATCTATTATTTTTGCTCTGAAGTGCTCTCAAGGCTTACAATACATTTCCTGCTGTTAATGTCAGATTTTATAAACCATCGAAACCCTCTGTCTAAGCTATGTGTGATGATAATGAAGCTAGATATGTATACCCTCATTCCTCACAGGTATATCATCTCTGATTGGAAGGCACTGGCCATCATGATGGGACTTGTGGGACCTACTGGTAGGCACGGCTTGTTATAGTTTCATGACAGTCAACACGCGACAGCGGCTCACTATAGTTCTGGACAGATACTCTAATTCCGGACTACCTCTCATTTTTCAAGCCTAGTTTGTCCTGGACAATTGACATTCCATGTTGTGATGTAGATGACAACAACTATGTAGATAACAGTGTTAGTTCCCTAGGGATCAGGTTATTTCTGCAGATTTCTGCACAGAATTCTGCACCCGCGCAGATTTCTGCACAGAATTCTGCACCCGCGCAGATTTCTGCACAGAATTCTGCACCCGCGCAGATTTCTGCACAGAATTCTGCACCCGCGCAGATTTCTGCACAGAAATCTGCGCTGGGTGCAGAAATCTGTGCAGATTTCTGCGCAGAAATCTGCTTTTTTAAAGATTTTGTACAATACTGTCCTACAAAATGTATCATTATGGTGATAAGTGGTAGATTTACTCCCCTACAAATGCTACTATCGGGTTACGTGTATTTTGGGCATAACATGTCGGAAATGCATTGGCCTTTGCCCAGTGCCCTGCAAGTTGGCATGGGGATAACTTTGCACTGTATGCTGTTTCTTGAAAAAAAATTGTGATATTCAAAATAATTTATGAAGTAAAACAATTCTCCAAAAAGTAATGATGGTACACACTACAGACTAGGACATACAATGTAACAGACATTTTGTTTGAGCTACATGTATACAGGCAAGCATAAGACCAGATTCTGTAACCAGCTACGTTGTAGCCTAAGTGTCAGCCTTTTTACCTTTTGTCTACTCCCCATTATATGCTACCGATAGAGTGTGGGGAGCGGACGAAAGCTACAAAGGCTGTACTGTTGAATGAACCATATAAGGGAAATTCCATTGACACACAGGGTGAAGATTTCTGCAGAAATCTGCAGAATTCTGCAGAAATCTGCAGAAATAACCTGATCTTTGGGTTTGGGTACATATGGAGTGCAGAATTCTGCACTGAAAAACAGAATTCTGTACCTAAATGCAAAATTCTGCTTAATCTTTATCCCATTGCTTGGGAAGAGCCCTTAATCTAATCTCTCAATCTAGTTTCTGACATCAATGATAGCACAATGGTCACGCGGATTTCAGCTAAGATATATTTGGCGGGAACGAGTATACATGTATGTATCAAACTTTTGAACCTCTTACAGGTGACCAGTGCTGCATCCTGTGCTACAACAAGAAGGAGAAGATGGCACAATTCAGGGATGGTAAGAGTTTTTATTTTTATTTGAAGGCTCTAGCTTAACCACAGTAGCTTTTTTTTCAATAGTGATGATACGCTGTGTTTGAAATCTCTTAAACAATAGTAACATCATAAACTTTTAATTCCAGCATTTGAACTGAGGACACATGAGAAAGCAGCCCTGCATGTCAGGGACAAGAAGAATCAACGTGGCCATCAACACCTCCCTGTGCTCAACATTGATTGGAAGAATGTTATGATAGATACCCTTCACATGTATGTATGCATATGTATATATTAATAATAAAGAAGTGCCATTGCAGTTACTGCATTTATCGTCATTTGCAATGAGGCCTTGATGGTGTGAGCAATAGCCACTGATTGTGTACATAATGTCAATTTTCACCTTGCTGGCACCAAAGTTCTGTCTAACAAAATATCATTTCCTCAGGTTCCTCAGAATAGGAGGAAAGCTCCTTAACCAGGTAACATGCACTGACTTTGTCATGTTTTAAACTTCAAACATAAAAACATCATGATCTTTTTAGCTTATTGTTACAAATGCACTTGTGACTAATAAACTGAAAACATACCATTAAGTGACAAAAATACCAGCAGATCATGCATGAGCAAAACTGTTTATCCATAGCGTTGTTGGGTAGAACTCTATAATGTATGCTTTTTATATTTTGTTACAGGTCCTATGGTCTATGATGATTAAGTACCTCTTTAATAATTCACATATGTTCGCCTCTGTTAGCTGATTGGCTGGACAATTGATCAAGGCCGGACCGGAGCCCTGGAGGCGGCTTTTTCAGACATTGGCATCACGTTCTGGCTCCGGAAAGAATCAACCAAGCAGGGACCCAGTACATATAAGTGGAAAACTTTGACTGGTAAGTTTCAATTTCAGACAGTTACGGTAAGTGACTTTTGTTGATCTGGGAAGTTTTTCATAAATAAATTTAATTTCATCCCGTATTTTTGCCCATGCAGCGAAAGAACTGAAGACAGCCATCAAAGACCTGCCCCACCAGATGTCAAACATCATCAACGACATCGGTGGGAGGAACCAGGTGCCCATTGATGCCCTGCAAGGCCCACAGCTTACCAGACTCCTGCGGGACAGGAACGAAACTGTCCCCAGGGCTGTCTCGGAAAGGAAGGCAAAGCTAAAACGGTTGCTTGGAGAGGAAGCAATGGTAAGTACCAAACGTTTAAGACTTAAAAGTGAGAAACACAACATGTTGAATACTGCGAAGCAGTTTTAAGCTGTTATATCCTAGGCCTTTCATTTACATGTGTTTTATGTATGTATCTCACTCACTATGTATTTATTCATGTATTTTGCAGGTGTCACTTTCCAACACCAATGATGACAACACTGAGATCCGGGTTGTGGACATAAAACACCTGTGGAAGGTAAGTTCCAACTTCTCAATCTGCTAAGGGTCTTTTTAATCATTTTGCTCAAGTTATCTGAAAGAAGTGAAGCAGATCTGTAAGTTAAGAACATCGAAATGTAAGAACATGATGTCCAGCAGAATCCTTGGGTCCACTTTATGGATATTAACACCATTATTTCAAATACAGGAGTTCATCCGCGTGTACGACATGCTCAGGCATCCCGAACAACATGCAGAGTTCAAAGAGGCAGCCACAAAGTGGTGCGAAATGTTTCGGGACATGACCTACACAGAAGACATCACCCCGTATATACACTGTAAGTTAAGTTTGCAATGATTTGAAATGATTAAGACGTAAAATAATTCCATGTTGCTAAGTCAGGGAGATACCATTGTCCATATTCAAGCCACAAGTATAATGGCTAAAAGTTATCCTTTACAAACATTAGCTATTGTAGTTTTGATTTCATTGGGACAATTTTGTTGCTAACATTCAGAGTTTGTAAAACATGCATGGGTTGTTACTCTGCCCTTGATGACATTTCAATTTTGTGAGAGAATTATTGTTTGAGTGCAATACCATTTTGTGTCTTTCAGACTTTGGAACCCATGCTGGTGACCAGTTGGCCTCCCACCCATTCTTGCATTTCATCAATTGTGAGACCATCGAAAAAAAAAACCACATCCAAACCAGGAGGTACCATTTGGCGACACAGAAGGGTGGGGGGCGCTCGAGAAGCAAGTGGGCAGAACAGGTAACTCTTTTGTCTATAATAAGACTCTATATTCAACAGCATCTCCCTTGACATGTCTTGTACAGCTACAAACATAATTCTGCCAAAGGACACAGTTGTAATTAAATGTTGTGGAAAAGTTTAAATTCAAGAAGACTATTAAAAGATTGTGATGGACAATATGGATTTTTGTTAAGAGGGCAACATGTTTTTGTTAATAACAAATAACTTTTCTTTTTAGTTAATGCAACTGGAGAATAGGGAGCTGTTTGCAGCCATGAACGGCATAGGGCTGAGAAAGAAGAGAGCATGGGGGACGAACAGGGTTGCCAACCCTGACCCTGGCTACGCAGGTAGCTCAGAGGATGACAGCGATGAAGATGACGAAGAATCCAATGCTCCTGAGCCAGATGGTGGTGATGAGGACGGTCGCATCGCTCCTGAGCCAGATGGTGGTGATGAGGACGATCGCATCGTCTATGACGGCGACCAGGACGACCTGTAGTCAAAGTACAAACTTATTAGATTATATGTAATAGTAATATCAGTATCCTATATCAGTCATACAAATAGACTGTGCTTTGATGCAAAATATGTAACAAGCTTTATCATAAATTATTCACCTTGCTGGTTTATACCATGCCTTTGCACCAATGTCCTCTCCTTCTTGCAAAGCTGAAGTGGAGCTCAGGCTCCCCAACAAGGTAGCGCAGTTCTGGTGTGCATGTTGAGGGCCTTGCAGAGCCCACTTGATCTGACCAGTTGCACCTGTACATAGAATAGTTTGTATTATTACTTAAGCTGCTAATCTTCATTGAGTAATGTGATCAGCTGGAATTCGCAAGTTTCTTTGAAATCTTGATATATCAACACAATGATGTATTTTGGTCTGTTGTGTATATACACTTGTTGATTCTACTGTCACTTGACTTATGTATATTTCTTTGCTACATTTGTTGAAATGTTGATGCTTAATACTGAAAGCAGAATGATGATGTATATATCTAGAGAGAAACAGTACTTAATATTTACCTTGGACAGTTGCGATGGGAGAAAACTTCCCTCTTGTGATATCCCCATCCGACTGTGATAGTGTCATCTCTGATCACCCGACACACAGTGTTTGTTGGAAATGTGCGGATGTCCCACCCCTCACCAAGCAGACTGTCCAGTTCGTGGATGTATTCGTGGGTGATCTTGAGAGCCCGTTCTCTAAAACAGTTCTCAAGAGGCTTTTCCTCCAAGAGCTCCTGGCAAATCGACAGGGACAGCCCTTGAAGGAAATGAGTTCTGAAATGCTGTTTAGAGAACGGTATCACAATGGTCACTCTCCTGGTATGGCCCTCTCTTGATGGGGTGTAACGGTAGCCCAGGCTGTAGGAAAAAGTTTCAAAGTTGTTTAAATATATAACGTTATACATATATAGTAATCTGCAGCTGATATCACCTTAAATTCAGTAACATTTGTTGTATGTAAGGCTTACTTATCATGTATCTGCTGTTGAAGGATCCTCAGCTCTCTTGGGAGTGGCAGCAAAATCTGGTCCTCCTGAAGAGCTATAAAGAATGAAAAGGGAAAATAAGATTAATACTCATACTCTGTAATATTTCTTTGAATTTTTATTGGATGAAAGAAAACACTCTGTGTTGAAGAAATACCCTATGCAACAATAATTGAACAACATATGAAAGTGTGATCTCTTAGGTGTTAATAATAGAAATGCTTTGATATGAACAATATGTTTAAAAAGTGCATGTATGGCTCACTAAATACATGTAATGTTATACAGTATCAACTACAGAGTCTTGATTTCCTACCTTTTATGTGAGGATTGCTCCCGTTCCTCTCCAGCCTCTGCCTCAGTGGCTCGTTATACCGCAAATCAACAATACTGTTGGGCCACCGTTTGGTTTTGGAGGGAGCCCACTTAACCTCCACGTGGTGCTCATCCACTTTTCTGATTACATCAGTAATAGGCCATTCATCGCTGTCTTCCTGAGGTGTTTGCCTCCTAACACGTGTGTTTGGAAGACTCCAAGAATGGCCGTACTCGAAGTTGTCACTATCTCTTGTAGAACGCTTTGCACGCGACGATTTTGGTCTTGTTGACATGGTACAGACGCAAAGTAACGATGAAATGCCAAGAAACACCCTAGGATGGAGATCTTAACCTTTGACCTACTTTAGCCTTTCACCCCCTAAGAAAACTGTTAATCTTTACATAACGCAGTATCTTGAAATGCAAAGCCTGGTAATGGCTCTTTTTGAAAATGTCAAAATGCGTCAAAATACTTGTAGATGGATTAAAAACATAGAATTATTAGTAGTTAGAAGTTGTTTTTTCCACGTCCTAGAAGTGCTTTGGGAAGCATGGTGTGAACCATATCCCATATGTGCTGTCAATCAATGCCCCATTAGCGCGCCTCTGAGGACAGATTTCCCACCCCCGCTAAGCCCTGGGCACCATCTGGTAGGATCTACAGTCTGCACGTTAAACTTTGCTACCTCCTGGCTAGAAACTACTCAACTATTCGTAACTACTACTAGATCCGAGGGTCAAATCGGTCTTGTCCAACGGGTCAACCCTTCACCCTGGAGCAACTTACCTGTACAATAGAAAACGTATGTTTGGGAAGGTGTATTTCCAAGCGTACAGAAGCCAGCCACACCGGTAAACACGGCCGCCATATTGCCTGCAGTTGACCTCTGTGGGGTCATCCCGCCAGCCGAACCGCGCGCAATGCATTTATGGAGTGTACTCTGGGGCGAACTCCTTGTTAATCGCGGTACCCTGGCGTACGCCGGGTACATGATTAGGCAAGGCCCTTGTCTAATCATGGCCCATGATTAACAAACTTTCTTGATAATCATGACAGGATCAGGTGGGATGATGGGGTGATTGTGTTTGGGGGTCTGCATATTTGCAGGTGTAGCAGGTTAGTAAGCGGTGACAACATGATTAAAGATATCTCTTCGTTTTTACTAATCATGCCGTGATTATCTGTATATCGTGCCGACGAGAAATTAACAACATCAAACAAACACGGACATCATCATCGGGCCCGTCAGCCGGGTATTAATTAGCGCTCCAAATAAAATGTCTGGCAAAGTTTACAAACAAAACGATACCGTACTGTACTGCCCAACCTTTAAAAAAAGAATCCTTGTGATATACCAAGAAAGTTTATAAAAGAAGAAAAAGTCAAAGTTCACAACCAACGACCACCCGTGAGTCTGTTGTTCATCACTACTGATGAGGCAAATACAGATTTGCACGCTGCATATTATTGTCCAGACGCCTGGGCGGCGCCCTTTTTGTTTTAGCCTACCTTAATTTTTTTTCTGACGAAATGTGTCCCCCAGTGGACACCTAAAGTATACCTAGGAATAAAAGGTCACTTATCGTAGTAGTAATTGCTCCGCTTATGCTCCACTTATGACATTAATTACTGACTCTGTCCAGTGTCCGTGTTTCAACCATGATACCAACGACCATTCGGACACAGTGACTCACAGAGAAGTTGCATGCTCTTACCTTTTTCCTCATACTCCCTCTCCTCCATGCGAGCCTCGGGTGCCTCGTCAAGGTCACCCAGTTTCTCCAGGAGGGACCTGGCCTCCTGTATGACCTCCATCCGCTCCTCTGTAAAAAAAGGCAGACATTTCAAAAATAGTAAGTGGGGTCGTGTGGCGTAACAACAGAGCGTACGGCCAGGAACCAAAGATGTCCCGAGTTCGAATCCTGCCATGCCACCCATAGTTTGCTCTTAGGAAAGACACTTAACACCACCTTCCTCACTTAACTCAGGTGAAAATGAGTATGTTTATTGTCCGTTTATCCACAGTTGTTGTCCTCTGCGTTGGTGGCGATATAAAAATTAGGCCACACCGACTTGATTTTATGGATGACATCCGCGCGCGCATTGATTTTCGCCTGATTCAGATAAAAGATCAATGTCCCCCGAGGCTCTGGTCTGGCTTTAGGCCTGGGTAGTCCATGGCGGTAAGCGACAACGAAGCCGGGGTGCTAACTCTGGAGGACGGCACCCAGGCTACCGAAGCTCCACGACTCAAGTACACAGTACATACGTACAGAGCCGATTCATATTCCGCAAAAAGCCGGCATGTGCCGGCTTGTCGTATACGTCGCTATGTAATGCGCCAAATTCACAATGCCGGCTTTGTATTCCTGTGGTTTAGTAGCA